TCAACCCTGTCTTCTGCAAAGAGCCTTTGCCAGTCCTCCTTAATCTTAGCACCTTCCCTCTGACACAGCTACGTGTGTGTGTGTGTGTCTATATATATATACATATATATATATAGACACACACACACACATGTATATACACATATATATACACACATACACACACACATATACACACACATATATACACATATATATACACACATATACACACACACACATATATACACACATATATACATATATATATACACACATACACACACATATATACACACATATATACACATATATATATTATATATATATATATATATATATATATACACACACATATATACATATACATATAGCTTATGCATTGTTGTTGTTTGAATGTTAGACTGTGACCTCCCTGAGAGCAGGGACTGATTTTTGCCTTGATGGCACTCCAGCACTTTAGTACAGTGCCTAGCACACGGTAATACTTAATAAATGCTAATTGACTTGGCTTGAGTAGACATATCAGCTGTAATCAGTGAAAGAATTGAGTTCTGATTCTGACTGCTTATATTGCTGCCCTCACCATCCAAAGAGCCCAAATCTCTCAAAGAAATATTTATTCTCCAGGTGTCTCAACCATTCTCCCCAGGTCTCTGAATGGATAACAGCTCAATTACATCACAAGCATGAGAGGCTTGACATGATCTGATTAGTCAGGCAAGAGGTATCAAGACCAAAAGCAGAGGAACCTCATTAGCAATAGAGAAGCCAGAAATCTAGGAGGAGCTAGAGTAAGGTAAGATAGGGAAAAGGACAAAATGAGATGTTGGTTAAGGGGGAAATCATTGCATTAAACATCTCTAATAAGGTCTTCTATCCAAGGCTTCTAAGGAACTTATCTAAATCTAAAAGACCAAAAACCTTTCCCTTATAGACAAGTAGTTGAAGAATTTGAACATTCCTCAAAAAAAAAAAAACTGCAACCTATTAGCAATTGTAATACTCCAAATAATTGTTAGATATGCAAATTCAAATAGCTCATTTTTTCAACTCACACTCAGAAAATTGACAAGAAATAACCAAAAAAAAAAAGTCCAAATTAGAGGGAATGTGAGAACATAGGCACACAAATAGAGATGTTAATTGTGGACAGAAAGTAGGTTGGTTCAACCATTCTGGAAAGCAGTTTGGAATTATGCAAAGAAAGTGACTAAATTATTCATACCCTTTGACTTAGAGATCCAGCTCTGGGACATAGACATAGACCCAAGGAAGACAACAATGGAATAAGGTCTGATAAATAACAAAATTTTCAGAGCAGTACTGTTTGCAGTAAGCAAAAACTGGAAATAAAGCGGATGTCCACAGATTGGGTAATAACTAAACAAATTATGGGGCATAAATGTAATAGAATTACATTGTAACTGAATATTACAGATTCACAATGAAATATGACAAATATGAAGAACTCAAATAATCTTGGGAAGATGTACTGATGCAGAACGAAGAAGGCAGAAAAAATTAATTATTACATCGATGTAAAAAAAGAAGAAGAAAATGAAGTTGAAAACTGAATCATTTGAACAGCCAATCTTGGTCCTGGAGATGAGAGAAGGAAAGAAGATGCCCTTCTCCTTTTACTGGAGAAGTACGGGGATATGACCTTGCAATGTTTTATATGCTATCAGATGTGATAGATATCTTAGTTGGTTTTGCTTACTTGGTTTTTCTTTGTCAAAAGGGAAGCCTTCTATATGGTGATATAAAAACAAAAGGCATAAATAAAACTTTTTTTAAAAAGTATTTAGCAAGTCCTTAATACATGTTGGTTCATTGACTGAGTGATCAAAATTATGGAATTCTCCCACTAATTTTTTTAAATTCATATTTACTACATATAAGGTTTTGTTCAATAAGCTGGGAATAAGAAGATACACTTAATTACCAATGAATGATAAGGGCCAAGTGCTGGCAGTTCTATAGTGACCCTCTGCCCCTACCCCAAGTCAAGTGCTCCAGCCTGCATCAGAGGTGCTTAGGGGACACCATGCTTCCTATATCTTTCAACGAGCTAACTGTCTCTAATCCCAGCCCTCCTGTGGGTGACAGCCATCTTCACTGTTCTCCTTGGTCAAAAAGTGTGATGCAGTTGAATTTATCCAATCAAACTCCGGCTCATTGTTCCCCGTATGGCTCAAGAATCTACCCTCCTCTGAAAGTGTCTTCCTAAAGCTTATCAGAGCCTTTCTCAAGTATGGGGCCAAGAACTCAATGCCAATCTCCAGATATAATTGAGCAAGGCAGAGGACCAGGGGGCCTCACCTCCAGCCAGATCCCTACACTTCTGTTCATGTAGCCAAAGCTTACATAGAGCTCACTTTAGTTTGACCTTTCAGTTAGTTACAACTCCAAATTCTTTTCTCCCCTCACGAATTGCTTCCTAGCTAGCTCTCCCCAATCTGGTAGTTCGTACATTTGATTTTTTTAACCTCAGTGCAAACTTTACATTTATCCTTACTAACTCACCTTGTTAGCTTCTGTCTGTGAGTCTAATCTGCTAAGACCTCTCTGGAGGCTGATTCTGTACTGGGAAATGTTAGCTATCTTTTTCATCTTTTCATCATCCCCAGAAGGGCTTTCCCAACCCCTTCCTTTTCTCTTTGCCATAATTCACCCCTTGACATCTCACAGACTTCTTCCCACACTCTGGGAAGGGATAGTAGGCACCCCAGGGCATGCCTCCTCTCCTCCAGCAACACCCTTGCCACAGAATTCTTCCTCAGTCTAGGTTCAGATAGATTCAGAGAAGCTCTGGCTTCTAAGGACGCCACATCCCAGACATGGAGTGAGTGCTCGCTCAACCCTAGGACTCTCTATAGCCTGGGAGGAATTGGAAACATTCAGTTTGAAACTCAAAATATTTAATTTGGAAATTTCATCCCTGACCCCAGCCTCACTGCAGGCCCTGAAGGAGCTTAGGAAAAAGAGAGTTGTGATCATCTCTCTCTGGCTGACATCATTGGGAATGACTCACTCCCTGGTCCTACCGAGCCCCTCTTATGCTGCTCAGCTGCTCAGCTGTTCTCAATGTGTGCACACCTACTGAAAGCTTCACGTGCATCAGAAATCAAATATCACTCCCAAAATTCACCCGAGCCCTTGCGGTACAGGCATAATTCTGGGCACCAAAGGCTAATGCCTCTATTTGCACGTTATGAACAAGCCTTCTCTCAAAAAAGGCCACGCCTCTCTCCTTCTCCCTCTCTCAATGAAAGGGGCTTGATGTTCCCAAAAGTCCCTTCCATTTGTAGAATCTACGATTCCACTTCCTAGCTGTATGACTCTAGGCAAGTCACTTAGCCTCTCTTTGCCTCAGTTTCCTCAAATGTAAAATGGGAATAATAACAGCACCCAAATAGCAGCAACTACTTCCCAAGGCTGTTATGAGGCTCAAATGATATAATATTTGTAAAGCACTCAGCTCAGTGCCTGGCACATAGTAAGTAGGTACTTAATAAATACTATTTCCTCCCTTCCTTTCTTCCTCCCTCCTTCCTCTCCTCCCTTCCTCCTCTCTCTCCTTCTCTTCCTCCCTCCCTCTTCCCTCCTCCTCCTCCTCCCTTCCTCCCTTCCTTCCTTCCTTCCTTCCTTCCTTCCTTCCTTCCTTCCTTCCTTCCTTCCTTCTTGCCATGAGGATCCTTGCCAGCAGGGCTAACAACAACCACCGGATTATAGAATATTACATCTAAAAAGAACTTTAGACTGCATCTGGTATGATGCCAAAATTTTTCTGGAGAAACTGAGGCCCAGAGACTTGAAGTGACTTACCCCAGGTCTCTACAAATAGTAGGCAGCAGATGTTAGACTAGAAAATGTAGAGTCATAGGATGTCTGAGTTGAAAGTAACTTTTGCAAGAATCTAGTTCAACCCCTTGATTTTATAGGTGAGGAAACTGGCATAGAGGGGGAAAGAAGGTCCCAGAGTCATTTAGCTAGTAAGTATCTGAACCAGATTTTGAGCCCAGGTCCCCGGCCTCTTAATCTGGTACTTTTCCATACCATATATCCTATTACAAGACCACACACTTGAGTTCAGGGACATATACATGCCAAAGGGATGACTTCTTCCTCTCCTTCCTCCACCTCCTTCTCAGGAGGAGAAGGAAATAGAAAACCACTCCAGCATTTTTTTTCTAAGAAGATGCTATATTTAACCCTTTCTCTCCCCAATCCACTCTTTCTCCTATGAAACAGAGGCCTAGGAGGCCTCTCCTCTTTAAGGCAGATGGTATAGAAGTAACAGTACAGAAGTGAAACATAAGGCACTTAAACATAAGCCCAGGTTCATGAACCAAGTCAAGACTAACCATAAATTGATGACCAAGAAACATCAATTTGTGGATAGTTTTGAGCTTGTGATAGGAAAGAGATGGCCTTTGGATGACATTCTGCCCTGGGAATCAGGAAATGCCAACCCAGGGAGGTTGGCACAGAGACTGTACCATCCCTGAGATTATGCGCTCTTTGGTCCAGGCCATAGGACTTTAGAGCTCAAAAGGACCTTAGAGGTCATCTGGTCCTACCTCCTCATTTTGCAGATGAGGAAACTGATGCACAAAAAGTTTGAATGACTTGCCCAAGGTCACATGAGAAGTAATAAAGCTTAAATTCAAAGTCCAGGTCTTCCAACTCCAGCATTCTTTTAACTCTACTAGGCTGACCTCTGTAGACTAGAGAGTCCCATGACTTCATAGACTCATAAAACCTAAGAGCTAGAAGGCCTGTCAGAAATCACTTCCTTCATTTTGCAGAAAGGAGATCAGAAGACCAGAGAAGGGAAATTGATTACCCAAGGTCACATAGAAAATTGGTGCTCAAGCCAGAATTAGAAACCAATTAAATATACTCCCCAGTTCAGTAGGTCTTTTTCCATACTTCCTCATCCCTCATCCATAGTTCCCATTCACTCCACCCCCATATCTTCACTGTTTCCACCACCAACCACCTGCCAGTCTCACCTTTGCTATGATACGGCATAAAGGGGCACCTTCTTGGGTCAGGCTGAACAGTTCCCTGTGGTAGACTCTGCAGTGTAAAGATTATCTGAAGTATCAATCTTTCTCACCAGCACCTGAACACCAAGAACAGAGAACACATAATATTCCAGTTACTCATTTCCTGAGAAAGCAGTGTAAACCCAGTTTAGAGGTCAATCCCCTTTCTTCAACTCAAAAATATTGTCCTAGAAAAGGTGGAGGACCACAGGGTATTGACTGGCTGGGATAGAATGAATGTCTGCATGCAGCATACTCCAAGTTTCTGCTTTCAGTGGCCTTTAGGGGGATTTACTGTCAGGGATCATGAAAAATGGAAAAGGAAACTGGTTTTGATGAACTTTGTCCTTTTCTTCTGCTTCTTTGTTACAAAGGATTACTCCGTGGGGAGAGAAAAAGAGGGACATATTTGGAAATGAAGGTGAAATAAACATGAAATATCAATAAATCTTCATGTTACAAGTAAAAAAGAAGAAAGGGCAGCTAGATGGCGCAGTGAATAGAGCTCCAGCCTTGGAGTCAGGAGGACCTGAGTTCAAATGCAGCCTCAGACACTTGACACTTACTAGCTGTGTGACCCTGGGCAAGTCACTTAACCTTGATTGTCTCACCCAAAAAAAGTTAAAAAAAAAAGAAAATTTCCAGAGAATCAGCAAAGAAACTAATTGAGATGATTAACAGCTATAATAAAGTAGAGAGATGAAAAATAATTTCATAAAAATCATCACTGTTTATATAGCAATAACAAAAAACCCAGAAGAAAATGATAGGAAAAAATGTCATTCAAAATAACTACAAAAGAAATTATATATATGAGAGTCAACCTATCTAGATAGGCTCATGATATATAAATACAAATATAAAACACTGTATAATAATAAAAGAAAACAAACAATTAGAAGGTTATCCACTGCTCATGGTTGGGTCATGCCAATATAATAAAAAGTATGATAATACCTAAATTCACTCATAGATTTCATGTCATACCAAATAACTAAGGAGTTATTTTATAGAACTAGGCAAAATTAATAAGAAAACATAGAAATCTTTTGGTAGAAATAATGAAAAAAATAGGAATGAAATGGGCACACTCAAACTATATCTAGAGTTCACACTATACTACAAAGTAATTTTTTAAATAAATAAATCAGTGGAATAGTGGAATAGACTAGAGAAGCAAGAATCATAAACAATTGTGGTTGACAAGCCCACAGAAACATTTGTCTTCCATGAGTCAGTTCCAATGGGAACAATGTGTCATGCACCAGCATGAGGGGGTATAGATACACCTAAACAAACCATCAAGTGTTTCTCTAAGTTTGAGCTGCACCTGTTCACTCAAGGGAATGTGCAAACACACCTAGCTTTCCACCCAGCCTCTATCAGCTAAGCCAGGCTCAAACCCCACTCAGACTTCCTCAGCTCTGTGCTTTAAGATTGGAAGTCTACAGCCCTTCCAGAAATAAATCAAATCTATCCCAGCCCATGCCCTCAATGTCTTTTTTTCTCATCATCACCGCCCCAAAGAAATCACTCAGCTGAATTTAGACTAAACTATACAAGGCATCGGACAAGTCTTAGGGCAGTTTTAAGCTTTAATGGATTAAGCTTAAGCTTAATCTTTGATAGCTTTAAGATGCACTAAGACTTTGGGGAAGTCCTGTATCTGTTACTTTGGAAATGAAAGCAAAATATAAAAGCCTAAATATCAGAGTGGCAGTAGTAATGCCAATAGCCTCTGGTCAAGGAAGAATTTTCATCTACCACAGCCTCTTGGAACTAGCAGAGAAGGTAGAAAAAGGAATACCTGAAAGCCCATTGCTGAGGGACACTATCTCATTATCAAAGCCACAGGAGGAAGGGGAAATTGTTTCCATGATCATTCCCCCCATAGGAACTGCACTCATCTCCTAGCCAGATGCCAGTTTCACTACCTCTCTCCCTGAACTTCAGGAACCTGACGTGAAGGCTACACCAAGAGTGTATGCAACTGAGGGAAAGATTTCCTGTTGAATAAGAAGTGCTGGGAAAACTGGAAATCAGGGTGGCAGAAAAGAGGTTTCAACCAGCATCCAATACCATATATGTAATAATCAGTATGAGACCGAAATTATAAAAGGGAACATGATAAACAAGTTAAAAAGGAATAGAAAGAAGCACCTTTATGGATAGGGGAGATTTCTTAACCAAAGGATAAGAGGTGACCATAAAAGTCAGTATATGCTCAATAATGGGGTCACTGGGTCAAAGGACACGGACAGTCCAGTCACCTTGCTTACATAATTCCAAATGGCATAATTCCAGAAAGGTCAGACCATTGAGAGCTCCATCCACAGTGCTTTAGCCTGTCTTCCCACAGAGCCGCCAGCATTGACTATTTGAATTTTTGTACCTTCTTTGTCAGTTTGTCTGTCTTGAAGTGAAAGTTAAAAGTTCTTTCAAGTTGCATTTCTATTACTAGTAACTATTTGAAGCATGTTTTCAAATAGTTATTTACAGTTTTATTTATTTATAGTTTCAAATGGTTATTCTTTCAAAAGCTATTTGGTTATATCCTTTGATCCCTTATCTATTGGAAAATAGGTCAACATTATATTTCTTTCATATCCCTCTATATGTTGAGTATCTGACTGTTACCAGTGATATTTGATGCAATTTTCTCCTGCTCTACTATTTTCCCTTTGAATTCTATCAGCTGGAAAGAGCCCCAATTCTGGAGCCAAAGGGTCTTAGTTCAAATCCCCCTCTGATATTACCTATGTGACCTTGGTCAAGTCATTCAGGCTTCTGGGGCCTTTGTTTTGTTATCTATAAAATGAAGAGATTGAACTAGATGGCCTCTGAGGTACCTTCCAGCTGTTTTAATTTATTTTATTCATTCAATAGCTTGTTAATTTTACAGAGTCAGAACTGTCTGTTTTATCTTGTGATATCCTTTTCCTAAGGGAAAAGGCCAGTCCCGCCTTGCAAAACTTCAGCTCTCAGTGACTCCCACCATTTGACTTCTTGGTTCCTGATTGAATGCTATTGAGCAAATGACTCGGCACACTACCAATCAACAAATGACCCAAACCCATCTCGCAGCTTCTATTCCATGGGCAGAGCCTCTGGGAAGTAGAGATCACTTCTACCCAACTCTGAACCAAGGCCAGAAGAAAGGGCTTCAGCAGGAGACCCCATGCTAATAGAGCCCATGCAGCAATTTTAAACTAGGCAGGCAACTCAATGTGAAAAGAAGAAGAAGAAGAAGAAGAAGAAGAAGAAGAAGAAGAAGAAGAAGAAGAAGAAGAAGAAGAAGAAGAAGAAGAGAAGAAGAAGAAGAAGAAGAAGAAGAGAGAGAGAGAGAGAGAGAGAGAGAGAGAGAGAGAGAGAGAGAGAGAGAGAGAGAGAGAGATCTGTGGCTACAAAAAGCAGAATTAATAAAGTGGGTCTGTCATTACAAATCTTTGTAATGTATTCAATTCTTAGAATCCATTTTCATTATTACTGTATGCAAGCATACATGCCATATTAACCCTTTTGCATTAAAATGCAGATTTTTGTCTATAATCGTCTTGAACCCAAATGAGAATTACCCGGTGTTCTTGATCTCTGTTTGCACTTATCTCAAATTACCATCGCATTAAACAACCAGCCTCAGTGTCTTTTGCCTCCATCCACTCATATTAAGATATGTATGGGAGAGATGATGATTTCATGTTAATATCTTTTCATACAGACCTTAATTACACACTAGAGAGGGATGAATGATTACAATTACTAGTAAGGAACTTATATATTGAAAGTCCTTTTCTCAAGTATACACTTGGGAAGGCTCAGACAGTTTGATTTTCCCATTTCCTCAGCCCTAGTAGTAAAATTATTGAAGTGATTGAATCCTTTTGCTAGGGAAAACTTCCAGAAGTCAGCTGGTCCACTCTCTAGCCTTTGGGCAAGAGGACATCTGAACTAGCCCAGGAAACAGAACTCCACATCTCTTGGCAATCTCTTTCCAAGAGGAAGGACCTTACAGTCAAGTTCTTCTTTGACACTAGCTTAAATCTCTTTTAATGTAGCATTTAGAGTATTTTAAAGGTAGAATATTAAAGTCTCAAATGTATAAGTAAAATAAAATTAAAAGGCTTTACTCCTATAGCTGAAAGACACAGGTTACCAACTTAAGCCAATAGCTAGCTACTAAGAATAAGCTTGAACAATTACCTGCCACTAGACTAAAATATATTAGAGTATTTGACCATGCTCCAGATACACATTTCTCCTAATCTAATAATTTTGGAGTTGTTTGAATCTATGCAGTTTGTCATACCTTTGTCTCATCCTGGAATTCTTGAAGCTGTATTACCAATGTGTAATGATCTAACACCCCAAATGTATCTTTGGTTTTTTGTCCCTTTGAGTGTGATTTCAGGTTGCATTTAACAGATTTCAGAGGGTCTGTGAACTTGGGAAATTCGAGAGGGTGGGGATTACATCTTTATTTTCATGAACTGAAATTTAGCACTTCCTTCAATTATTTCATGACATGATTATGATGAGAGGTCCACAGGCATCGCCAGATTGCCAAAGGGGTCCAGCACACAAAAAAGATTATCTGTGTTAAACAACTAATCCATTCTTGAGCTGCAAATATAAGACAAGGCACATAACTACATGTAACTACCTAGAATTCTCTAGAAGCTTCATGCAAAGGTATTACAAACCCTCAGACTTTCCTTGTTACTAGGGTCCTCAGGTAGTAGAGGAGAATCCATTCCAGTCAACCTGGGTAGATTTCACCCTTCCTTATGCAACCAGCTGAATACCCTTCCACCTCCCATATTTGAGGGCTTGTCATATTGGTGCCAGACTGGATGAAGATGCCCAACAGACTTTTATCCACACTGTAGCTCAGAAGACTTCAATCATCACCAGCCCTAGTTGCCCTAGAAGCAGGGACAGGCTGTGCCACCAAGCCCAATTCCCATTCACTTATTAACCCCAAGTTTTCCAAAATGTGGTGCATAAGGTTGGGAGTTGGGGGAAAGTGGGAAGTAAAGGCAAGGCAATGGGCAAAAATCACTGGATATTTTAAAGAATA